GATCAGCAAATGCCGCCCCTTGCCCCGCTGCTGCACGTTCAGCAGCTCACACATGGTCCGCCCCTCCCGCAAGGCAGTCGCCTGCTGGGATCTGGTGGCAACGGGCGGGGCGAGGGGGAGGAAGGAAGGAAGGAAGGAAGGAAGGAAGGAAGGAGATTCGATTTCTGAATTGTCGTCTTGAGTCGGCACAACAGCCATTGCGCCAGCAGCTCACACATGCTGCGCCTCTCTCGCAAGGCAGTCGCCTGCTGGGAGCTGGTGGGCGGGCGGGGCGGGGGCGAGAGAAGGGATTGCCTTTCGGGTGGTTGAGAGCATGTGTTGCGTTGCGCCTTCTTTTAGACATCTCATGTATCGTTTGAGATGTGTCAAGAAGGCAACGCCTTTTGGGTGGTTGGGTATGTGCCGCGCCCACTTTGCAGGGCAGTTTCCTGCTGGGATGGGGAGAGGCAGGCAGCGGGGGGCGGATGGGGAGAGGCAGCGGGGGCTGGATGGGGAGAGGCAGCGGGGGCTGGACGGGCGAGGGGGGGGCGGGAGGAAGGGGACGAACGGACGGGGCAGTGCTGCTGACACAGCTGCGCCAAGAGCATGAACGTCAACAGCTGTGCCGCGCCAACACATATCTGCTCAACAGATACGAGAAGCTTATCCCATCCCATCCCATCCCATCCCATCCCATCCCATCCCATCCCATCCCATCCCATCCCATCCCAACAGGCTGCTGCTGTCCATATGATATGATCATATCTGCGGGATTGGAGTGGCTCGTTGTTGACGTGTCTGCCTGTCTGACTTGGGCTCATTGGGAGTCCCATTGACAGGCTGCGGAACCACCCAAGGCTTCCTTCCGCCGCCAACTGTCTGACTTGGCTTCTCCTTGCGCTACTTTTGACGATTCTCAGAAGTGACTTGGTGGGGTATCTTGCGAAGAGAGTGTGTCCCCCCACTGACCGTGAAACTTTTCGGCCATTCCCCTTCCCTCCTACCACCTCCTCCGTTCCCCCTTTCCCCTTTCCCCCTACCCCCGTTCCCCATCCCCCATTCCCCCCGCAATTCCCCCGTCGACCCACATTTGCGCTGCTGTCAAGTTCCGCTTGCTCCTCGCCCCGCCCGTGCTTCCCCGTCCGCTCATGGAACCCCCGCCGCCCGTGCTCCTATCCCCCGCGCTCATCATCGCCAACGGACGGCCCGCGTGCATCGAGCACACGTCCCGCGCTTGCGCCCCCCCCCCCCGCCACCGCTGCTGCAGCCGTTGCGCTCATGCCCCTGCGCGATCCGCTGCTTCCGCCCGCGGAACCCCCAAACACCCACAATCTCCCCGACCCGGACCTCGACCCGCCTCCGCTTCCCGCACCTTCCCCCTCCTCGCCCCGCGCGCCCATTCCGCTTCGCCGGGGCCTACGCGCATGCCCCTCTGCGCGCGCCTCTCCGCTTCCCGCTTTCCGCACGTTCCCCAGGTGCGCGAACATGGGCGTCGGCGGGAGCACCTTAACCGAGCCGTTCCTCACTGCGCCAGGCTCCGCCATTTTCGCCGCCCAGTCCCCGGTTCCGCCATCCATGCCCGCGCGCGCTGCCGCCGCCTCCCCGCCAAGGCCATGCTTCCTCCCTAGAGAATTTTCTTTCACGGGCTGCCCGAATAAATCAGGGGGAAGCGCAGGCGCAACTTGCGCGGAATCCTGCGCTTTACTGCCAAGACCGTCGGGCTTCGCGGGTCTTGCAGTCTCCACTGATGCGGGGAGTGCGCTTCGCGCGGGGAGAGGAGCGGCTGAAGCGCTACCATTACTAGCGGCGCTCCCCGTAGCTGCTGCGCGGGGAAGAGAGGCGGAAGAGATAGGTTTCGCCACGGCTTGAGCTGTTTCGAAGGAAGACTTTACTTCAGATGACTGTTTTCGCGGCGTCGCCTCGAGTGACGGGACGCCCTCCTTTTCAGTAGTGCTATGCGGGCGGCTGGAGCTAATTGGGCCGTTAGTATAACTCCGTGTTAAACAATTTCCCATTAATCTGCTTGGTCCGACTGATATTTGACACGAATCGCAGCAGTAGCTGGACGTTTCACGTTGTCGGCGACGGTCCTCCTACGATCCGACGTGGAACGTTTCGATTGGACGGGCGCACATGGTGCCTGGATTAGGACGATGAGGTAGACGCCGCGTAGTGCGCTCATGAATCGAAGCTAATGCCACAACGCTACAGAAAATCGGCGGGTCCAGAACAGGGAGACGCCCGAATCGGGAAGATGTAGGCTCACAATTCAGTCGAGTTAAACCACGACAGCACTTCTAGCTAGGCGCTTCGGAAGTCGATTGTTTGAAGTATAATCACCACTCGTAGCTGCTTCGCGTCAAGTCAAGTATCAGAGAAAGACGGCACGCCGCCTAGCAGCATCGTGGAAAATGCGAGCTGGCAGGCACGGAGGCAGGCAGGCGATGACGAGTTCATAAGGGTGCCCTCGAATTGAACGAATCGACAGTCCTCCTGAACCTGATGACAACGGATGCTGCATAAAAATAGGGGCACATCTGCAGTCCGTGATGCGAAGCAGTAACTCCAAGGCCCAGAAGGGTTCCAGAGGTTGTTACGGCAAGCGCCGTGATTCGCCCTGGAACTTCGAAGTCAGTGATTGGGTTGGATAATTGGGTTATGGGATGGGTTAAGGGATTTGAGATGGGATGGAATGGGATGTGATGGGATGTGATGGGATGTGATGGGATGTGATGGGATGTGATGGGATGAAATGGGAGGGAACTCTATCGGGCCAAATTGGGGGGGTCACTGCCACTTCTGGATGGGCTGGCTGGAACTCTATCCACTGCCGCGTGCCGGGCGGCTACATTGAATTTGAGTGGGGCTCCCTTTCAACACGGACGTTCACGATTTTTACTCGCGGAGAGTCGGGCTCCACAGTCTCACTCTCATCTCAACGACTGCTGCTGCCTTGGGTTGGGCCTGCCGAAGTCCCTGGGACCAATACTTAAGAGTCCTGAGCTGCTCAAAATCTGGCCCTGATTTTCACGGGCGCAGGCCGATTATAGAACTTGAAACCCGGGCTTCTTATGGAATTGTACTTGCCCCTAACGTCAAGGTAGATGCAACTAGTACTTAGCAGAAAGTACCGTTGTAGCATACTATCTATTCACCTCTCCAAATCCTGATCTACCTACCTGCTTGTATTATTAATCATTGGTCATGCGAGGCGAGGAAGGGGGAGAAGGTGGGGTCGTAGGTTAAAACATACAAGGGGGGGGGGGGGGGGAACGCGCTGGAATGTTTGGAAGGGGTCCTCGAAACAAACCAAACCCGGCCTGAACTCAGGGGGAGGCCCAGTTTGAGCCCTTAACCGTCACGGATGCCTTGCATATCTAACACTTGAATCGATCGATCTTCTCAGACAGTAACCCCGAATGTTCAGGGAATTAAGGGAAAATGCCCTTGCTTCTCTGCCCTGGGTGGGATGGGTGTGAGCAGGAAGTGAGCGAGTGTTGTGCTCGCCTCGCACGGCAGCAGCAGCGACATGGCATGGCAGCAGACGTGGGTGGGCGGTTGGGCGGACGTGGAAGGATTTATGAAACGAGCCCAGGCTGCGGTTTGGATAGGGATTCTCCCGAGTCCCGACCAGAAAACGACACGCGCGTTGTGCGGGTTAGTTTGGATGCAACGAAGTCTTCACGTGGCGGCAGTGATTCGTGAAACCTCCCGCGTGCCATGAAACGTGGCATAACCCTGGCCGTGCCATGGATTTGGACGTTACGTTCCATCCTTACTCTGTACTGTATATCGCTTTGCACCATCCCAGATTGATGCACGGAAATTATGGCGGTAATCAAGAAGTAGACACCCAGATGCCCAACAAAATTTCCTGACGACTGATCCTCACTTTGCCCTCGCCAGAGCATGGCGAGGGCAAAATGAGGCAGCTTTTGCCTGTGATTACTGTGCAGTCAATGGGCGGTAGGGGGGGCGCCTCGGTATCTCGAGCCGCTGATGAAGTCAAAATGAGGATGGTGTTTCCAAACCTTCAGGTTTGGGAACGATGGAGGTCGCATGGGGGTCGAACGCGATCTTTGGGCTTCCGAGCCTAGTACTATTCATCCTCATCATCATATAGCCCTCATCCTCATGTTCTCCCGAACAAGGCCTAGTACGTACTAGTTATAGTAAATCCTCACCGCTGTATAGTACATCCTCACGATATGATATGAGGGATATCATGTGGGCTAGGAAGATAAAAGAGGAAAGCATTGTTTTTACATTGGATGGATATATGTATGGACGTATTGCAATATGCGTGTATACATCGCCAGTTGTAATTGATGTGACATTGCATTGTATGGATGAATACCGTTAAGGATAGGTATCTTCATGTTTTTCATATTCAACCTTTATAACGGTTTATGAATTACCACGAGGACGCCACCATGAAGAATGTAGGGTAAGTAGCTTTCGCAGGGGTACTACTAGCGACCCTGCGCTTTCAAGGGGACTACAGTGCTAGTTGCGGGCACTTTCCGCCCCTCCGCCACTCCGACAGGAACATTATGGCAACAACACAGAACTCGGTCCCACATTCACCCACGTGTCACAAATTTGGAAAGTTAGAAAACGCACGGCAAAAAAAATAAAACCCATAGGGAATCTGGACTCGTCTTCGGGAGGGATCAACCCTAAACACGGGAACCCACATTTTTTTTAGGGTTGATGCCTCCCCAAGACGCATCCCTTCCCGATTGGGTTTTAGTTTTTTCGGTCAGGTAAAGGGATATTTTTTCCAGTGGCTTGCGAAATTTGTGACACGTGGGTGAATGTGGGACCGAGTTCTGTGTTGTTGCCATAATGTTCCTGTCGGAGTGGCGGAGTGGCGGAAAGTGCCCGCATATAGCACTGTAGTCACCTTGAAAGCGCAGGGTCGCTAGTAGTACCCCTGCGAAAGCTACTTACCCAAGAATGTACGAGCAGCCTGCCACCCGAACCGACCACACCACACCAAACTTGGATGCCAGCGCTGCAGTTGACGCATGTCAGGCATTGCATGTCAGGCCGTCGTGACGTGTCATCAGTCGGTCAGCAGGTCAGTCACTACAGAACGAGACAGCAGCACGTCTCCGAACCGTCGCTCCTGGTTCGACTCCTGGTTCATCAACAGCAACCCGAGCCCGAGTCAAGCATATCGAGCCGCATCTCCCCTCGAAATCCACGCAAGGGTGGCGCTTTTCAATTTGCTTCCGTTCTTTCACACTCGACATACTCCACCGCCTCAACCTACGTGCGTGCGCGCCGTTGTTCCTCCACTCCCCCCCGGCGTCGAACCGTAGTCGGCATTGAAGCCGCCTCGTAAGTCGCCGCGGACGGCGTTATCGACTGAACTCGGAGCGTTTTCCCACGTCGTTTCCGCATCCTCCTTCTCAGTACTAGCAGCTTCGCGATCGTGATCTTCTTGCTCGTCGACACGTCAACACGCGGAAGGGAACGAGCAAGAAGGATTATTTTGTGAATATCAGACGCCACATTCCTCCCTTCGCTTGCAATCAAAGCCAGGCTTTTGGACCGAGTCCGTGCGAAGCCTGATTCCATCAGTCGCGTCGCAGTGTGAAATCTCTCCGACAGCAGATATTCTACGCCTCGCAAGTCGCGGTTGATGTGTCCGTGCAAACCCTGTACGCGCTCCATCATACTCGGCGATCGAACGAGCCGCGAGACCCTCACCAACGTCGTGTCGCGTGGACTCCATTCCCGTGAGTGTAGGGCGACATGGACCTCGCAATCGACTACCCGTCTCACCCGTCTCACCCATCTCACCCGTCTCACCCGTCTCTCCCGTCTCACCCGTCTCACCCGTCTCACCCGTCTCACCCGTCTCACCCGTCTCACCCATCTCACCCGTCTCACCCGTCTCACCCGTCTCACCCGTCTCACCCGTCTCACCCGTCTCACCCATCTCACCCGTCTCACCCGTCTCACCCATCTCACCCGTCTCACCCGTCTCTCCGTCTCACCCGTCTCACCCGTCTCACCCATCTCACCCGTCTCACCCGTCTCACCCATCTCACCCGTCTCACCCATCTCACCCGTCTCACCCGTCTCTCCGTCTCACCCGTCTCACCCGTCTCACCCATCTCACCCGTCTCACCCGTCTCACCCGTCGTTTCCGTCTCACCCGTCTCACCCGTCTCACCCGTCTCACCCGTCTCTCCGTCTCACCCGTCTCACCCGTCTCACCCGTCTCACCCGTCTCACCCGTCTCACCCATCTCACCCGTCTCACCCGTCTCACCCGTCTCACCCGTCTCACCCGTCTCACCCGTCTCACCCGTCTCACCCGTCTCACCCATCTCACCCGTCTCACCCGTCTCACCCATCTCACCCATCTCACCCGTCTCACCCGTCACACCCGTCTCACCCGTCTCACCCGTCTCACCCGTCTCACCCGTCTCACCCGTCTCACCCGTCTCTCCGTCTCACCCGTCTCACCCGTCTCACCCATCTCACCCGTCTCACCCGTCTCACCCGTCTCTCCCGTCGTTTCCGTCTATGAGCAGCTTGCTGGGACGCCATGATGCTGCCGGCTTTAGTAAGCACTACAACGGGGGATCGTGAATGTCCGCATGATGCGTGCGCAGCGAAGGTACCGGCGGCTTCAGTGCCAATCGCGGGGGGATATTCGGAAGAGATGCCTCTCGTACTAACGGATAACGACGAGGCAGGACCAGGACCTCGGGTATCGTCGCGATTCGAGGCGGAAAGTCTGTGTGAACCGCGTGCGTGCGCGCAAAGGGGGGCGCGCGCGAAGGGGGAAGCGCTCAGCGGGAGGGGGAGGGGGGCGGGCGGAGACGCGCGGCGGTGCCGGTGGGCGGTGAGGGTGGGGGAGTGGCAACCGAGCGCGGAGGAGTTTTGGGCGGCAGTGGCGCTGCTGCCCGCGGAACACCACGCGCACGTTCTCAGGTGAGAGCTTCTCATTGGTTGGGATGCGCTCGTTTTTATACAATTTTCCATTCCCATCTCCCTGTGTGACCCACACGTCCTCCCACCCACCCCCATACCACTTTTCCCCACCCGATCCCCCTTTTTCCCCGTATGCGCCGATGCCCCCGCCCCGCCGACGCCCCCTTGTACACGTTCCCCGCAGGTTTCTCCGCCTGTCCGACCGCAAGCGCGCGCTGGTGAGCCGGCTGGCGCAGATGGCGCTGGTGGCGCGCGCATGTGGCGCGCGGGGGGGCGAGGTGGCGCTCGTGCGGACGAGGGAGGGGAAGCCGCATTGCCAGGTGCGGCGGGGAGAGAGGGCAGGGCGCATGGAGGAAGAGGGGGACGTGCGGAGGCAGCAGGTAGAGTCACGTGACGACGACCATAGCAGTAGCTGCAGAAGCAGCAGCGGCAGCAGTCGTAACAGCAGGGATAGCAGCAGTCAGAACAGCAGTTGCACCGACAGCAGCGTGCGTTTCAATGTGTCCCACCATGGGGAGTTCGTCGTCCTTGCCTCGGAGCCCACGGGCACTGTCGGCGTAGACGTGGCGGCGCACGATTGGCCGGATTCCGCAGCCGCTGCTGCTGACATGGCGGCAGCTGCTGCTGTGGATGGGGCCAGGGATCAGTGTTTACTGCGGCTGTGGCAGGGAGGGAATGGTGGCAGGAGTGGGAATGGTGGCAGGAGTGGGGATGGTGGCAGGAGTGGGGATGGTGGCAGGAGTGGGGATGGGGGCAGGAGCGGTGAGGAAGGAGAGTGTGGCAAGGAGTGGGGAGGGGTGGAAGAGGTGATGGCAGGTCGAGTGGGGGGTGGAGAAGTGGTGGGGGAGAGGGAGAGGGTAGTGATAGAGGACCGGGGGGACGAAGGTGGGGGAAACGGGCAAAGAGAGGAAGATGTGGTGGTTCTGGTGGGGGCGAGTGTGGGAGAGAAGGAGGTGAAGGGAGGAAGGTTGAAGAGTAGGAGTCCGGTGGGTGGGAGTGAGAATCGGGGGAGTGGCAGCAGCATTAGTACCAGCAGCACCAGTACCACCGGCAACATCACCAGGACCATTATCAGCAGCAGCACCACCAGCAGCACCAATCCCGGCACCAGAAGCAGTAGCAAGTACGGCAACCCGCAGGTGTTCTTCAAGCCGTTCCGGTCGCTGGGACTGCTGACAGCAAGGGAATGGGCGGGCATAGAGCAGGCCGGAAATAGCACCTATGAGGAACAGCACAACAGCTTCTACAGGTGTGTTCTGTAGAGGGGAGAAATGGGGGATTTTCACTCTTGAGGCCGGGTATAGCACTCCAAAGCGGCATAGAGCGGGCAGGGGATAGCACCCATGAGGAGCAACACCATAGCTTCTACACGTGCGCTCAATGGAAGGGGGAGGTGGGGGGAAGAGGGGGCTTTGTGAAATTTGAGAGCCTCAAAGCGGGCATAGAGCAGGCACGGGATACCACCAATGAGGAACAGAACAACAAGATCTACAGGTGTGCTCAATAGAGGGGGGGAAGAGGGGGTGGGGCAAATGCGTTGGTGGGCACATGGGGCGGATGTGAATGGGGCTGGGGTATTGAGTCGATTCACAAGTCATGCATGGGGCCAAGCCTTACGAGGTAGGTTTTTTCTCAAGGCTTTAGAGTGCCTGGGCTGAGACCCAGGAAACCTGGCGATTTCCGCTCCTCCCTAAACCCCACCCTGTCCTCTCCACCCCAAACCCCAACCCCTCCGCTCCACAAGTCCCTTCCCAGGGTGTGGGCACTGAGAACTCAAGGAACCGGAGGTTATGTGACATGCGTGGGTTCATGCTGCTACCTTCACTCTGCACGGAGGTTACGTGGGCTGAGGCCGTCTATCCGTGTGTGCACACTCCCGTTCCTCCTGCCTTCCTCCTTTCTACTCTGCCCTCCTCATTCCCTGTCCCATCCTTCCAACCGGCACCCTTCCTCCCAGGGTATGGGTGCTGAAGGAATCGTACGTGAAGGCGATAGGCATGGGCCTGGGGTTTGACCTGAGCCGGATCAAGTCCACTTCCCCACGCCCGCTCTCCCTTCCACCCGACACCCTTCCTCCCAGGGTATGGGCGCTGAAGGAATCGTACGTGAAGGCCACAGGCATGGGTCTGGGGTTTGACCTTAGCCGGATCGAGTTCACTTGGGGGAGAGCAGAGCGCAGAGCTCACCCCTGCTGCTGTTCTGCTGCCGCTGCAGATACACAAACTCAATGGGAGCCTGACTCTAGAGAGAGCGCGAGAAGCTGTGGTGCTGGTTCACAGAGCGGTGGTGCCAGCAGCATAGGACGCTGTTCGCAGGGCTCTGCTGACTGTGGATTGGGCTGTGGGGATGGTGGTGTGAGGTGGGAGGAGGGGGAGGAGGAAGAAGGGGTGAGGTGGGAGGAAGGAGAGGAGGAGAGGGGGGTGAGGGAGGCGAGGGTGTGTGTGGATGGGGTGATGCAGCGGGCCTGGCGGTTCTTTGTGCACAGACTGCCACGTGACCACTGGGTGAGTGCTGTGTGCCATGTGCCGTGTGTCATGTGTCTTGTGTGCAGTGTGCTATGTGCCGGCACGTGCCAAGCACTGCTTAACAGCGGTGCTTAACAGCAAATGTGCTATGTCTTTCTGGCAGCATAATTGCAACGCTCGTGCTATTCACCAGTCCTCACTGGTGGTAGTTATCGATGCAACTGTTATTCTCCTTAATGCCTTCCCCGGGGGTTTCTTCTCTTCGGCAGGTTGCTGTAGCCCGAGGTCCTTTATCTGACGCCACTTCGAGCTACCAGCAACTCTTTGGAGGGGATACGCACGAATATCAATCTTCACATGTTTCGATTGGTTGCTCCGAGCCTGCATTTCAGATGCTCTCTGTGGAGGATGTGATTTCCATGTTGCATTCCTATAAGGTTGCTTTCTGAAGGGTCAAGGAACTTGAAAACTATACCAGTAGCATACGGTAATAGTATGGCACAATATGTAATTATAAGGAGCGGGAGTTCAGTTTCCCCTTCATGAAAATGCTGGGGCCCATGAAACTGAATAAATCATCGATATATTCGCGCAACACGTCTCCCTCCCATCCCTTCACAACCTGGATCATCCTGGATTCAATGAACGGTCAAATAAGGAAGGATCGAGTAAATAAAGTGAGTCAGCTAAGCTTCCACTATCAAGATAGTAGGGAAACTTCATAGCGAGAATATTTGACAGGTAACATGCGAAAAGATGAAACGTGTGCTGCGACGCGAGGTTCTTGAATTCGCGGAGCCACGAGCTTCGCCCTGCAAGAAGTCAGACTTCCCAAGTGGCAGGGAATGGAATCGGGTGGGGAGGGCACAGGATCGGAGGGCAGGGCAAACAAGCGACCCGCCGTCACCGTCGGTGCGAGACACGACTGGGCATGGCGGATGTATAGTGGTGGGTGGAGGTGGAGTTGATTGAGTTGAGAGAGCTTATTTGGCGGAAGAGATAGGTAGGAGTTGTGGCTGTTAGGTGGTGCCGCAGTGGCATGACAACGGCGGGGCACCACACGACGGTCCACTAGCCAGCGAATCTTAGACAAGACAGCCCCTGCTCCCGCGCCTCCAGAAACATGCGTGCCGAGCCGACAGTACTCGCGTAGGCGCGACGACGACGGTCCAGACAATGAACGAGAGTTGTGTCGCGAAGCGACGGTGGCTGATAAGCCGAGGCACCACTAGCCCTCAGCGCACCAACTCGCTCACCGTCTCGACTGGCATGAGTAGCACCCTGCTTGTAGTCTCCTCGTTTCAGCTCTGGCGAGTCGCCATTGAGAATTCTGAAAGAGGTCGCCAGAATGGGTTATCCCTTGTCGCGTACCCACCGCCAGTCGCGACGCGATCTCGCCGACGCGTCACCGTCCGCGCATCCGTCGCGCGGCGCTGCAGACTTTCAGACGTTGGGGACCCGCTGTTCGCTGTTTGCTGTGCACACTGAGAGGCCTATAAGGATCCATGGCGCTCTCATATCAACATATCCCATCCAAGTGTTTTAGAAATATTTACCACTACATTCCACCGACAGCCAGGCTACTCGCAGATAGCTCACATATCAGCGGCGGCTTTTCTGAGTTGAGTCGATCATAATGGCGACGGCGAAGATCCTTGCGGTTCTGATTCTTGTTCTCGTGGCCACTTCCTGTAAGTTCGCTCTCGTTCCTGTTGCTCACCCGCTCCACGCGTCATTCAATCTTAATTAACATTTTCTTTTGTCGTTTTCCGCAAGCGCTTTAAATGACTCACGAGCGTGTCGTCGTTTGCATGAGCAGGTGCCTTCGCTGCTCCTGGTAATGGCAAGGGGAAAGGCGGAAACGGAAACGGGGGGGGCCGAGGGAACGGTGGCGGAAAGGGCAGCGGGAAAGGCGGGAATGGTGGCGGCATTGTTGGCGCGCTGACTGGCGGAAACTCGACAGGGGGGTGGGGCGCGGGCGGCATATTCTCCGGACTCTCCGCGCTCTTTGGCAACGGCTCCGCGCCGAGCGCCCTGGGGGGCATCTTTGGGCGCAAGGGCGGGAATGGGAAGGGCCAGGGGAACGGCGGAGGCAAGGGGAAGGGCAAGGGGCGGGGCAGGGGGAACGGCAAGGGGAACAGTACGGAGAGTGCTAGCCCTGCGGGAGTGGCGACAGCTGCCAGCGCGAGTCAGGCAGTGGTGGGGGTGATGGGGGTAGGCAACGGCAAGGGGCAGGGGAACGGACAGGGGCAGGGGAATGGTCAAGGCAAGGGCAAGGGGAAGGGGGTTGGGTGGGGGAAGCGCGGGAAGAGCGCGGGTGGCGTGTTGGCGAAGCTGAGGGGCAGCAGTGTGGCGGCTGATGCGCTGACAGCCCCTGGTGATGCCAACGCCACTGGCGTCCTTGAAATCACCCTCCTCCAGTGAGTCCCCTGCCGCTCCTCATCCTTCGATTCCTGTAAACTGCGATTTGTGTGTGGAGCAAACCTGTTTCTCTCTGTTTAACCTCGCTTATTCTATCTCCTTTCCCCTTATTTCCCCCCCCCCTCTCCCCCGCTCCCCGCCGCCCGCTCCCCCTCCCCCTCCTCCCCCTCCACGTGCCGTGCATGTGGGCAGGAACGGCACGGACTACGACGTGGCCTTCACGGCACGCATCTCCCTCTCCACTCCCGCCGCGCCCACAGCACTCACTCTCAACAGCGGCAGCACCGCCACCACCGGCCCGGCTCTGCTCGACATGTCCACAGCCACAGCCGCTGACGGCACGTCCCCCCTTGTATGGACTAGCAGTGACGCTGCCTCCTCGTCCTCTCTTGGCAGTAACAACCCCATAGGGCGCGCGTGGGGCCGCCTGCAGCGAGCAGTGAAAGGCTCTGCTGCCCGCACGGCAGGCCTGCACACGTTCACTCTCACGGGCGTGTGGCGGGCCGCTGGCACTGTTGCTGCTGCGGACGGCGTGCAGACGGTGAGGGACGTGGCGCTGGCTGTTGTGGCGCAGCCCAGCGCGTTCTATGCTGTGGTGGCTTCGCCGGGGTTTGAGGCGGGCGCTGCTAGGGGGCAGTTTCAGAAGGCCCCCAAAGGATGGGCGTTTGGGCTGAGGAAGTGAATACTCGAGAGAGTGGGAGGGGAGGGGGTGTGGAGGAGGAAGGGTGTGTGGGCTCTAGGTGGAGGCAGCATAGGAACAGCTGGGGAGGAATGTTTGTGAGTTCTGGAAAGTTCCGGAGGTGCGCTACGTAGTACAGTAGATGGTGAGTCTACTAAGGAGCCTCCTATCGAGTCTGTTGTTAGAGGGCCTACTCCTGACATTGAGAACGTATGGCTGTCTGGTCACTACAGCCTTTTGCTTTATTCGCAGCAGGCAGGCTCTAGAACAACAGGTCTCCAGTTCATGTTTGGAGCTTTTGTATAATCAGATGTTTCAGAGTTCTTAAAGCCCGGGGCCCAAGTTGTTCATGTTTGAAAAGGTTGATGGGGAGGGAGTTCAGTTTCTGGGATGTGACGAGGGTTTGTACTTCGTTAAAGCTCATGTGGCGGGACAAATTCAGCAAACCTTCTCCACACCAGCAAGCTAGATAGTCTGAATATGGGTGACTAGGAAACTTTCTACTCCATAGAGTAATTAGAGATGTTATTGATTGTGTTATCGGTAGCATCCTGATCATGCTATCGGCTATACGGGAGAAAGTGGAGAGAGTGAATGTTCGCTGCGGGGGGGAACTTCGGGTTTACACAGGAAATGCTCGCGACGACACTGGATGGGCACGGCATATTACTCGGACGTGATTGGCTGCGACGATACAACCCGAGAATTGACTGGACGACAGGTAGCTGCACTGTGCGAAGCGGTGGTAACTGGGTCGAACTACCTCGCTGGCGGTCGCCTGAGTCTTCAACGGTCCACGTCAACGCCATCACGATGAAACGGGCTGTCGGCGCTGGAGCTGACGTGTACACAGTGGACATCACGGTAGTAGGAGAAGCGGAGCAGCCGAGTGCTTTTCAGAAACTGCTGGCAGCCGTACCGCCCGAACTGTAGGAACTACTGAAACGGAACCCGGGGATTTTTCCAGACGACTTACCGGAGGGACTGCCACCTCAGCGAGCACACGACCACCGCATAGAGTTAGAACCGGGGGCACAGCCAACCGTACAGCGACAGTTCAGACTGACACAGCCCGAACTTGACGAACTGAGGAAGCAATTAGATTACCTACAGGAGAAAAAGTTCATCCGACAGAGTGCGTCCCCGTTCGCCGCACCGATACTGTTCACACCGAAAAAGACTGAGGGTTTCGCATGTGTATCGGCTACCGCGCACTGAACAGGGTTACAGTTGTCAACGGGAGTTGTTGTTGGCCCCGTCCTCGCTTGGGCGGAGCCGACTTCGTGGTTGGGTGTACGGGAGGTACAGCCGACTTGCAGAAGTGGGCGACGCCGACTTGGGCGAGCTGGTCGACGGGGTTGGTCGACTTGCACGGGGCCACTGCAATGCCGCCGACTTGGGAAGCCGGCGGCCGACTTCAACTGGTGGTCGGCGATGTGGCACGTCGACCTGGAAGTCGGCGCCGACTTGCAAGGTCACCGACTTGCAAGGTCACCGACTTGCAAGGTCGCCGACTTGCAAGGTCACCGACTTGGGAGGTCGCCGACTTGCAAGGTCGCCGACTTCAAGAGGTCGGCCCGGAAGTCGGCGCCGACGTAGAAGGGGCGTCGACTTGGTGACGCCGACTTCGGGTAGCCGACTTGGGTGGTCGGCTGACGATTGTGCTAGTCGACGTGGAGCTGGTCGACCAGGAGTGACGTCGACCTGGAGCTGGTCGACCAGGGGTGTGGTCGACCTGGTGAGGACGACTGGAGGTGGCCGTCTACTTGGGAGGTCGACGGGCACATACAGGAGCACCTGGTCGACGTGGTTGCCCGGTCGACCAGGTTACCTGGGTGACGAGGTTCTGCGGAGGAGTGCGACGGTCGCCCAGGCGAAGTTGGCGAGTCCGACCTCGGTGGTGGTATCCCGAGGTCGACGTGGCTGATCAGATGCAGTCGTCAGCGCCAGGTTGACTTGGTGTGTGCGCTGTGCAGGTGACAAGGCTCCGCACGCCAATCATCTGCGAGCACCTGCGAAGCTGGTGCGATGCTGTTCTGCGGGAGCAACGCTGGCACGCCGTCAACCTGCAACGTTGGCACGCCGTCGACTTTGCACTGCTGGAGCGCGGTCGACCAAGTCGTGCTGGAACGCGGTCGACCATGCTGTGCTGGCAGTCGACCGGCCTGAATGCTAGCTCTGATGTAGTCTAGCCATGCCAACTTCATTGTACCATTGTTGTCAACTTTCTCTAGTGAAACTCTTGCCAAATTACCCCGTGGTCTAGCAAGCAGTGTGTGCACTAGGAAAACGACTAAGGAACAACGAACGCAGAGATCACACGAGCACCCGTGCCTAGCCCGTAGTCTAGCTCCCGTTGTAGTAGTTATCTCCGCAACAGTCAAGTCACGATACCCCACCCCCCCCGCCGACGAACTGTTAGACCAACTGCGAACAGCACGGGTATTTTCGAAAATCGACATACGGGGAGGTTACCACCAGATTAGAGTCGAACCATCGGACTGCGCCAAGACAGCTTTTAGGACTAGATACGGGTCATTCGAGTACACGGTGATGCCATTCGGGCTGACCAACGCACCGGCGACATTTCAGATGACCCTGAACGAAGCGTTTAGGCCACTCCTAGACAAGTGCGTGATAGTTTACCTCGACGACATCTTGGTCTACAGTCGCGACAAGCAGCAGCACTTAGCAGATCTGGAAGCAGTGTTTAAAGTTTTAGACGAGCACCGACTACTGACCAAGGGTTCCAAGTGCGAGTTTTTTCAGGAAAGGTTAGAATTTCAGGGGCAAGTTATCTCGGAGGCTGGAGTTGAGATCGACCCAAAGAAGCTGGACACGGTAAAAGAGTGGCACCTCCCGACAAATATCACGGAGCTGCAGAGTTTTTTAGGGTTCGTTAATTATGTGCGTCGGTTTGTCCCCGGCATGGCACGGTTAACTGACCCACTGACGGATCTACTGCGGAAGGGGGTCGTTTTTACGTGAGGGGAGAAAGAGCATGTTGCCTTCTCTGCCCTGAAAAATGTTCTCTGTTCACCACCCGTACTGCGCATTGCCGACCCATACCGCCCATTCGAAGTAGTTACAGACGCAAGCGACATCGCCATCGGAGCCGTACTGCTACAGGATTTCGGCAACGGCTTACAGCCCATCGCATACGAGTCACGAAAAATGCATCCACCTGAGAAACATTACCCGATACACGACCGCGAAATGCTCGCGATCGTGCACGCGTCCAAGATCTGGCGCTGTTATTTGACTGGCGCAGACGTGACAGTACGGACAGACCACAAATCACTACAGTACCTCCGCGCACAGCCCCACCTCAATCCACGACAGGTTTGTTGGCTCGACTTCCTCGAATCCAACTTCCACTACACGGTCAAAAAAAGAGCATCGAACATCGCGGACGCACTGACCCGCACCACTGCCCAGATACACGCCATACTACTCGCCCAGACCAGCCCACTGCTTACAGGCCTATTTACCCACGGCTACCATACAGACCCATTCTTCACCTTAGGAAATTCGCAGCAGTTCGCAGCAGCAAAAGGGGTTTATTACGTAAGAACCGGCACCGATCGCATCTGGGTACCGAGCTACACTTTACTACGGGAATTACTACTACAGGAGGGACATGACGGAGATACCTTAGGACACTTCGGAGTAGAGAAAACACGGCAGCAACTGCAGCGATATTTCTACCGGCCCGAGATGCTGGCTGACGTGCAACGACACGTGGCATCGTGTCCCACCTGCCAGCTCATGAAGTCGTCACGACAGCGACCGGGAGGACAGTTGCAGCCGATACCACCCCCAGAGCGTGCTTGGCAGCAGGTGACAATGGACATTGTCACGGGGTTACCGAAAGGAGCAAATGGGAACGACGCGATCCTGGTCGTCGTCGATCGGCTGACGAAGATGGCACATTTCGCAGCCTCCAAAAAATCAATCACAGCCGAAGAAACAACCCGACTCTTCATCTCCACCGTCGTTCGACTGCACGGGATACCAGCGGTAATCATCAGCGATCGTGACACGAAGTTCACCAGCAACTTCTGGCGGAACCTGTGGCAGCAGTTCGGCACGCGACTACAGTTCAGCTCATCTTACCACCCCGAAACCGACGGACAGACAGAACAGACAAATTAAACCATGGAGCAGTTAATACGAGCCACGTGCGACGATCCGACAACATGGAAACAACAGCTGCCACTCATCAAATTTGCATACAACAACTCCATGTCAGCCACGACGCAGCAGTCACCATTTTACCTCAACTACGGGCAGAACCCAACAGTGCCCTTGACCCCGAATCCCGACAACCCAGTACCACGCGCGCAACAGTTCGCATAAATATTACAGGTAGCACGGACCCGGGGAGCAGATGCCATCAAAAAGTCGAATATCATCGCTAAGCGTAACGCCGACCGCCACCGCCGCCCCGTCACTTACCAACCCGACGACCTCGTACTCCTCGACACCCAAAACCTCCGCCTACCCATTACTCCAAAATTCCGCCTCGATATTGTGGGCCATTCCGCATCAGCCATATGATCACGCCCGTCACCGCCCACCTCCTCCTCCCTGCTGACTGGTACGCCAGCCCATCGTTCCACGTCAGCTTACTCCGCCCATACGTCCCCTCCACCAGCCAACTACCTCACAACCGCCCCGCCAGCATGACACGACCGCCAACGGAGCCAGTCATCACACCCGAGAAAATCTTGAGCCACCGAGTTCGTGACCCACGTGGAGCTCGCAGGATCGAGTTCCTGATTCGCTGGAAGGACCGCACGCCCACTGAGGACAAGTGGGTGCCCCTAGATAGAATTGAAAATCACACCGTCCTCACCGAGTATCTCCGCAGCCGCAACTTCCGGGATGTACTGGCACTCTCGTATGGGGAGCCTCCTTGGGGAGGGGGGTATTGTAAGGAAAATTCATTTTCCTTACTCCGCGCCTGTGAGGATCTGGTTCAGGAAAGAGAAATCTATTGA